ATTACTCACTATATTCTACTGGACACATGGGCTAGCTCTAATTTAGTATAAAAGGGACAACCCAAAGCGTATGGAAGCTAAGAGGCGGGGATCTCTGGTGGATGGCCAGCACAACTGCAATATTCAGTTTCGGTAAGAATGGAAGGAAATCCGTGTCCTCAACCACTACTGCTGGATGTGTAAATTATCTTTAGAGGGCAATTTGACAGTAGCTAGTCAGATTTAAAATGCACATATCTTTGCAATATATTTTACGTAAAAGAAATATGTACAAAGATGCTCATTGTAGCAGGGATTTTAACAACCAAAAAAAAAAAAAAACAAAAAAGGGTGGGGAATCTAAATATCTGTAAATAATAGAATGGATAAATTATGGAATACTGTGAAGCAGTTAAAAATAAATGTAGCAGATCCATGACTGACCAAGGAATGATTTCTAAGACACATTGTTAAAAAACAACCTGGAAAAGGATATACTTCCATTTACATAAAAAACAAACACATGAACACTGTATGTATATGTTTGTGTGTATACATATATAGACACGAAAATCCACAGGAAACCTTTGGAAGGACACATGGAAAATTTTTGGCAGTTAACTTGCAAAATAATACAGAGCATGGGAAGTGGAGGCAGCACTTTTACTTTATAATATTTTGTTATATCGTTATAAAACAATTTTGTTATTCCCAGAGCAAGTCTTCAGAAAACTAAGGAGAGAGCAAGGTCTCAACTTCTGAGTCTGCTTTCACTGTAGCTTAAGAAATAGGAAAGGGATGTTGGACACATAGCCATTAAAATACTGGCTCCCACTTAATTCTTTAGTTTCATCATCTATAAAATGGTGGTAAGATACAGTATCTACTGTACAATGCCATCATGATCAAATGAGACAATGAAAGTCACTGGCACTTACGAAAAACTCAAAAAGTGGTGACTGTTGTTTTAGGTCTATTCTAAATCTCTTATCAGAAATAAAACAGTGTTTTGGTCAATATGCAGAGTGTAACTGAATATATGCTAAGAGAAATAAAACCAATCATGACCTGTATTGGTTTCTTCTTCTTCTCCCAAAAGTATTTAAGGAAGGCGTGCTACCTGGATCTGCTATTAGTTTATGAAGAGTGTATCTGCTGGTACTATAAAATCAAAATACAATTTATTGTTGTAGAGGAAAAAAAGTCTTTAGAAAAGCTTAACTATGGTTAGAAAAATCAATTTCAATTATAACACCTTCTCAACTTAAACATTTCTATTAAAGTTTCTATATTTCAATATTAATACCTTCTAATTTCAACTGTAATACCTTCTCAACCTGAACATTTCTATTAAAGTATAACAACACCTATTAAAACAGCAACCCACTTACAGGCCTCTGATTCTATAACCTTGCAACTAGATGTAGAAATGAATCTTGCCTACACCACTGATTCACTGAATTGTCAGGACAGGTCATTTACCTTCTCTGGGCTTGAGTTTTCCTCATTGAAAAGTAAGAAATCTGGGTTAAATTATCTCTAACAACACTTTCTATCCCAAAAGTGTTCTATGACAAAGTGTTCTCTGGCCCTCCTTTAATCAGAAGCACTATTTTCCTTGTAAATCGATCAAAGCATCAGATGTACTTCTTGTTCACCATGAGAATGTGGTTTCCAGCAAAGGACTTTCTTAAAACACTGCAATAACAAGCAGTGTCTGTGGAATTCATCATGATGGGATCTGACCTGAAACCAGGGTATAGATTCTTTTTAATATGCAATGGCAGTGGAAAACTTACTAATCATAAGATCCTAAATAAAATGTACCTTAATATTGGTCACTCACTGAGGGGTTTGTCCTATCTGACATTCTTTGCCAAAGTTACTTTTGCCTTACCAGTTTACTGTCACTCAACTTTTCACATTATCAAGAACTGTGTTGTCCCATACCTTCTATCAAGAACTGTGTTGTCCCATACCTTCTGTACCATTTCCAAACTTTTCTGTATAATAAAATATCTATTAACACATATTGGGTAGGTTCTGGGTTGAAAATCTCATGAAATACATTTAAGAAAAGTGTTTTACATTTAGGTCTTTAATCCATCTTGAGTTAATTTTTGTATAAGGTATAAGGAAGGGGACCAGTTTCAGTTTTCTGCATATGGCTAGCCAGTTTTCCCAGGACCATTTATGAAATACAGAATCCTTTCCCCATTGTTTTTGTCAGGTTTGTCGCAATGGTTGTAGATGTGTTATTTTTCTGAGGTCTCTGTTCTGTTCCATTGGTCTATATGTGTTTTAGTACCAGTACTATGCTGTTTTGATTACTCTAGCCTTGTAGTATGGTTTGAAGTCGGGTAACGTGATGCTTCCAGCTTTGTTCTCTTTGCTTAGGTTTGTCATGGCTATATGGGCTCTTTTGTAGTTCCATATGAAATTTAATTTTTTCTAATTCTGTGAAGAATGTTAATGGTAGTTTGATGGGACTAGCATTGAATCTATAAATTACTTTGGGCAGTATGTTCATTTTCATATTAATTCTTCCTATCCATGAGGATGTTAGGTTTTTCCATTTGTTTGTGTCCTCTCTTATTTCCTTGAGCAGTGGTTTGTAGTTCTCCTTGAAGCAATTCTTCACCACCCTTGTTAGCTGTATTCCTAGGTATTTTATTCTCTTTGTAGTAATTACGAATGTGAGTTCATTCATGATCTGGCTCTCTGCTTGTCTTTCGTTGGTGTATAGGAATGCTTGTGATTTTTGCATACTGATTAAACCTAGGCAATACCATTTAGGACACAGGCATGGGCAAAGACTTCATGACGAAAATGCCAAAAGCAATTGCAATAAAAGCAAAAATTGACAAATAAGATCTAATTAAAGAGTTTCTGCACAACAAAAGAAATTACCAACAGAGTGAACAGGCAACCTACAGAATGGGAGAAAATTTTTGCAATCTATCCATCTGACAAAGATCTAATATCCAGAATCTACAAGGAACTTAAACAAATTTACAAGAAGAAAACAAACAACCCCATCAAAAAGTGGGCAAAGGATATGGTCAGACACTTCTCAAAAGAAGACATTTATGCGGCCAATAAACATGAAAAAAGGCTCAACATCACTGATCATTTGAGAAATGCAAATCAAAACCACAATGAGATACCACCTCATGCCAGTCAGAATGGTATTATTAAAAAGTCAAGAAATAACAGATGCTGGTGAGGCTGTGGAGAAACAGGAATGCTTTTACACTGTTGGTGCAATGTAAATTAATTCAACCACTGTGGAAGACGGTGTGGCGATTTCTTAAGGATCTAGAACCAGAAATACCATTTGACCCAGCAATCCCATTATTGGGTATATACCCAAAGGAATATACATCAGTCTACTATTAAGGCACATGCGCATATATGTTTACTGAAGCATTATTTATAATAGCAAACACATGGAACCAGCCCAAATGCCCATCAATGACCCACTGGATAAAGAAAATGTGGTACATATGCACCATGGAATACTATGCAGCCATAGAAAGGAATGAAATCATGTCCTTTGCAGACACATGGATGAAGCTGGAAACCATCATCCTTAGCAAACACAGGAACAGAAAACCAAACACTGCATGTTCTCACTCATAAGTGGGAGTTGAACAGTGAGAACACATGGACACAGGGAAGGGACAACACACACCGGGGCCAATTGGGAGGTGGGGTACAAGGGGAGGGAGAGCATTGGGACAAACAGCTAATGCATGCACGGCTTAAAACCTACATGATGAGTTGATAGGTACAGCAAATCATGATGGCACACATATACCTACGTAACAAACCTATACGTTCTGTACTTGTATCCCAGAACTTAAAGTAAAATGAAAAATATGTACATATATTGAAAAGTATTTTTAAAAAAAAGTGTGCAACTACCTTTTCTCTTCGACAGTTCAACACTGTAACAACATAAACCATCTGAACTCGAATCATTTTTTCTATTTAAAGCCACAGTAAAAGTTAGAATGCATCCATTCAGTTGAGTTCCTACATTCTATTACCATCTTTATAAAACTGCTTGAACAGTTCTAGGTTTTTTCATGCTGGTTAACAGGATCAGCCCATATGATCATGAAAATACTCACTGTGCCAACAGCAGACACCACAAGACAGGTAAGTGTCAAGTCCTTCCGATCTTAAGTACTTGGCCACTATAGGTTAAAATTTCGAGACTGAGAGTTCCAGAAAACTTTCTTATATTCAAGATATATTAATAATTTCAGATGCATAAACTACTTCTCTTGAAATATAACTTTTTAGCAAAAAAAGATTCTCAGCAGAGTTTTACTGCAATTGTAAAGCAAATATAAGCTGGGAGCAATGGCACATGCCTACAGCCCCAGCTACTTGGAAGGCTGAGGTGACAGAATCGCTTAAGCCCAGGAGTTCCAAGCAGCTTAGGCAACACAGCAAGATCTCATCTCTAAAAAGAAAAAAAGAATAAATATAAGACCTTTGTTTCAGGATCTTATTATGTATTTTACAATACATGTCACGTTCTATTGAGTGGCACAGGGTGAGACTCTGAGTATGTCTTTTTCTTGTATAAAGAGTTGAGAACTCACTTTGCAGAACAGCACAAAGGAATCTGGAGGCTTGGGGCTATGTTTTTCACCACTGCTTCTTCCACAGTGCTATCACAATGCTTTGTACATAAATGCTTAATAAATGTTCACTAAACTTAATTTGAGAGGTTATAGAGAACGTACACAAAAACTCTTGATACAATATATAGATACTGTAAAATATAGTTACGTATTTTCAAAATCAAGAATATCTTATTCAATGAGGTAGATAAAAATATAACTCAAAGGTAAGGCATTTTTAAAATGTCCACGTATTATGGAATTTAAAATGTATCCTAATTTATGTTGTCAATGTTAAATGTTTTCATAACTCATATCTATTCAAGTATTTTTCAATGTTTAGAAAAAAGATTTTTGTTAGCCAAAATAAAAACTAAAAAGATGTAAGGCAAAATAATTCATTTTATTTCTTAAATGCCTGCATATTTATAATCATATAAATTTTCATGCATTATATAATGTATGAGATACTGTACTTTCACATTAATTAAAAATTAAAAATATTAGGAGACTAATTCAACCACTTCTGAAGAAATGAATGGCTGATCAGAAAATGTCAAATTACTATCACAAGCCCAAGATTTTATCATAATCATGAATAGCATTTAATCATGAATATCATTATTTAACTTTTAAAACTATACTTACAGTTTTCAGATTAAAATCCCATATTGGGTCAATGAGACTTTACTCCAAATTATAGTCACATATGGAAGAAAGTTTTTAATTCAATATTTTATTATAGTCCACAGTATAAAGATAATTTTCATGAGGGTTACATGGATAGCTAGCAAAAGAAATATGCTAGCACAGGGTGGTAACTGCCAACTAAGCATGCACTGAACCAACAGACTACTTTAGTAAGTCCTTGATTATTGCTAGCTTTTCTATAATGTTCAGGATCTCAAAGGTCACTAAATTTTATAATTATCTCCAAACAATTTTCTTCATGGTCATTTAAGCTTTGTCTAAACAGCTGGGTGTGTTGCCAAGCGACATCACCATCTCCTCTGCTTAATTCTGCTTCCAAAATAACTTCAGTGGCACCAGAAAAATCAGCATAGGAGTGAAGATTGTTATCTGTTAGAGGGGAAAAAAATTAACATTTTGCTTTTGGTAATTTAAAGAGCACAGATCATTTTGAAATGCATTTTATATAGGCTGATGTATAAGTTAAAATAAACCCTTAAAAATAAATACAAATTATTCTTTATGGAAGAAATGCATCCTTTGAAACAAAGAAATGATTTTTTTCCTTGCGTTTGTATTTCACAACAGAAAACATCGGCCTTTCTGTTACAATGGGATCACACCGGTTTTATTTAAATTTTTTTTTTTTTTAACTGAAATAGTATCAATAACTCTTGGGTACAAAAAAGAACTACATCTCAAATAAGTACAAGTGGTCTTCAGAGTGGTAAATATATATTTCATGATTAATTCTCCAGTCAAATGCTTACCGCCTGTCAGTTCTACTCGTGCTGTATCAGATCGCAATTTCCATTCTATTGTTCCAGTTTGAAAAGTTTGACTAGTTGTTCTAATAGAAATGCTATCGATTTTTAGGCCAACCGACCCACACTCAAACTTCCAGGAAATATAAGCAAAAGATGATCCTTCCTTTCGGGCCAAATATACCTATAAGGAGTAGGGATGGGGAGAAAGGAACTGTCAGAAATAATGAAATAATACAGAAAACAAACTTAGTGAAGAATATTACTGTCACAGGGTAGTATGTACAAGTCGTTATTTAAAAACCAACTTTTCCCTGTTGAAAAGGTTTTTAACTGCTAACATTTTTTTTTTTTTTTTGGCAATTTTTCCCATGGCATCTTTGAATGCAGATGTCCCCAATAAGTGCAATTCTAAAGGACTGCATACTAACCAAATTTTGGTAAATCATATTCTTTTATATTAAGACAACTTTTTAAAATGAGTTTTATGATTAATCCTGCTGAAAATGAAGAATCCTTTTAAATGCAACTACTCCTTAATTTTTATTTCTTTTCTAAGTCTGGATTTTCATATATGCTTTCCTAGCGTGATGTGATATGCTGTAGCCTCTAAATCGAGAAAATACCTCAGCCATTGCTAACTAACGGTTTAAAAGGTGATATCCGTGCTCACTTCTCTAAATGGCATGCTCCCTGTTCCTTCATCAATACCCTTTAGCACATTAAATGTATACTATTGAAGGCATCTAAGCCTACTGGCTGCTTCCAGCTCATTCCCTCTCATACTTCTATCTACACTCCTCAAAACATTGCCATGAAAACTGACATCCATAGCCTTGGTCTTTCACAGGTCACTCTATTCAACCATGCTCAAACTCTTAAGACTCTGACTCTTCAGTTGTTCATCCCTTATATGTGAATTCCCACAAAATTCTATGTATTTGTTTGAAATAATTCCTGGAAAGAAACCCCTTCTTCACTAATACTGCACTTACTACTACAGTTTGGACTTTACACTCATCTTGCTGCAATTGACTACTGCTGTGCAATTCCAATTGCTCTGATCATATTTTTATTTTCAAGTGTATTATTTTAGACACAGGGTCTCACTCTGTCACCCAGGCTGGAATGCAGTGGTGCGATCATAACTCACTGCAGCCTCGAACTCCTGGGTTCAAATGACTCTATTGTTTCAGCCTCCAACTACCATGCCTGGCTAATTAAAAAAATTTTTTAGAGGCAGGGTCTCACTTGGACGCCTGCCTCAGTCTCCTGAGTTGCTGAGATTACAGGTGTGAGCTACCGTGCCTGGCTCTGATCAGGTTAATGTTTTAAAATCCCACTCTCTTTATGTCATCTGCCTGGTCTGAAAGGTACAGCAAGTACTTGGTTCTTACATTAAGTCTAATCTATTAGCTTTAAAAATCCTCCACAATTAGGCCGGGCATGGTGGCTCATGCCTGTAATCCCAGGACTTTGGGAGGCTGAGGCGGGCGGATCCACGAGGTCAGGAGATCGAGACCATCCTAACACAGTGAAACCCTGTGTCTACTAAAAATACAAACTATTAGCCGGGCATGGTGGCGGGCGCCTGCAGTCCCAGCTACTCGGGAGGCTGAGGCAGGAGAATGGTGTGAACCTGGGAGGCAGAGCTTGCAGTAAGCCGAGACTGCACCACTGCACTCCAGCCTGGGCGACAGAACAAGACTCCATCTCAAAAAAAAAAAAAAAAGAAAAGAAAAGAAAATACTCCACAATTTCATCCCACCTTGAATTGCCAATGCTCCTTTATATTTTTGTATACTATACTCCTTGATACTGCCCATATTCTGACCTACCTTCATCAAATCATAAGCTCTCTGGGGGGCACAGTTTCTGGATTCATAAAAGCATTTAGGGCCAGGCGCGGTCACTCACACCGGTAATCCTGGCACTTTGGGAGGCTGAGGCAGTCAGATCACTTGAGATAAGGAGTTCAAGACCAGCCTGGCCAACGTGGTGGAACCCCGTCTCTATTAAAAATACAAAAATTAGCCAGGCATGTTGGTGCACCCCTGTAATCCCAGCTACTCGGGAGGCTGATACATGAATACTGCTTGAACTAGGGAGGCAGAGGTTGCAGTGAGTGAGATTGTGCCACTGCACTCCAGCCCGAGTGACAGAGCGAGACTCTGTCTAAAAAAAAAAAAAATAAAAATAAAAACATTTAGTAAATATTAAGTATTAAAGATCTGTATGCAAATATATATATATATATGTATATATATTCATGTTAGACTTGATCTTTTTAGGAACATCTAACTCATACTCTAGCTCAGGGGAAAATAGTTGAAAGTACCATATAAAACACATCTGGCATGGAATATCCTATTACATGTACTATTCTGTATTCTGGTCTTTACTCATCAAGTAAAAACATCAATCACAATAGTATTCTTGACAACCAACCTATAGCTATTTTTCTTCCAGGTGTGCCCGTTAATCTGAAAAATTTTAGAATCAGTGAGTTAGAGATTATGTAACAACTGAGCAATCACTCTCCAAAGAAAATGATCTGAAACTACTACTTAAACTAGGTATGTATAGCCAACTGTTGTTTGTTGTTGACAAACCTAGACGTGGAACTGTCAATTGCTCCATTTAAGTTTGGACAACGTCACTATAACATCCTCTAGTGTTCATATATGTTCCTACTGCATGCTCCTCCTAAAGCCGTTTGTAAGGAGGACGTGGGACTCAGGACTCCACCGGTGTTCCCTGGGAGTCATTAGTTTCACCCATCCTAAACTATTAGACATCTGAGTTACACACAGGTTAATCGCTCCTTTAAAGGAATGGCTACCAAAGGGGGATATCTGGGAAAGAAGAGCCAAACAGAGAGGTTACTGGAAGAAAGGTGAATTAAAAGAACTAAAAGACTTGAGGAAAGTAATCTTAAGACATAAAAATTTATATCTCAATATGCATTTCTGTATCTTGTGTATTTTCAGAGCTCACTAGATTCAAATGTCCCTCAAAAGTATGGGTATAAAATATGATAGGTTGAATTAGGTTAACTTCAAATCTAGCTTACTCCAATAACTGCCTTAATTATACTGTGTGGGTCTGGGTCAAAACTGTGGTTTTAACTGTAAGAGAAGGTTTATAGTAGCTGTTGAACATGCCTGACAGCATTTATTAAAGACTTAAAATTTTCAGTCCTAAAGGCATCATCAGCTTTTAAGACTAGAAAGTTAAAGAATAAGATAGAGGTCATGATTTAATACTTACATGTTTAAACATTCAAACATACTAAGAGCAAAATAAAAAATGTCTCATGTTAAAGAAACAGTATATGGAGATCAAACACCCTATTTATACAGAAAATTCCTATCATCTTTTTTGCACAATATATTCTGTCAAAGACTCATTTTTAGAGGTGGTAGAAAGTTACCAAGAATACGTATACTCAGTTTGGTAAATTAAAATGTGCCAAAACAATGGAATTTATAAAAAACCTCGAAATCTGGTCCTGTCTATGTATAATACCAACACAATCAGTAACTATACCTTTATTTAAAAGGGGGAAAAAAGGCAAACATTCACTTGTTTAGTGTAGAGAAAAAACATTTTTTACAACTGCTGATTATTCCTAACATCATGAGTTATTTGATAGACATATTTTTGCCTGTTGGCTTAAAAATTTTTTTTTAAATTTATTGTGTACATTCTATAAGCTTGGTTTTGTAATTTGTAGGTCTCTAAAAGGTGAGTGTTGCTATCCTACTTTAGCAGGAGTGCTAGTAAAGTCAGAAATCATGGAGGTTTTCTCCTGTATTCTATACATACCACCCCAACCCTCCTCCCACCAGTGACCCATCCTTGCTCCTTTTTGATGTCTGTAAGCACATATGGGCATATACAACCTTTGGGTGAGAACAAGACCTGTGTGTCTAGGGTTTAGGCATAAGCCATACTATTCACAATGTATACAAATAGAACTTGTCCTTCGGGTTGTGGCTGTAACCACTATTTTCAGGACTGAACAATTTGCATGTTGGCTTCTTTATGTAATTAATATTCTATAGAAGATCTTTGCTCAAAGATTTTTTGATTACTACATGTCAGGCTGCTATGGCTCCCTAGAGGTTCAGTTTGTACTATATTGTTTGAAGCTCTTCTTTAATACATTCTTAAAATTATTGTTCTACTTAGGCTGCTAAGATTCACTCAAATTAAGTTCACCATACAGCAGGCACCCTGAAGGTCGTCATTCCTACAGATATAGAGCAAAACAGTTGTATTTCAAGGGATCTTAAATTGTTGCTGGTAAACTGGTACTTGCAATGAGTCTTATTTTTGGTTATTCCATTTTATCTTGAAAATCAAACATGAATCCACTCCTAGTTCCCACTGTATTTAAATATTTCTGTGTATACTTCCAATTTATTCCATTTGGAGAATCTGGTTAGAATTTTTAAGATTTCCATGTATACTTCCAATTTACTCCATGTGAAATAGGAAACTTTCATGGTTTCCTGTTACATAATTGCAAGGTAATCAAAGTCCCTGGGACCTGACAATTATTTACCTCTCTAGTCTCATTTCTCACTATTCTCCTTCATACTCTCTACTTTTCACTCTTTCCTGAATACACCAGATGTCTCTCACCTCAGTGCTTTCAAACCCACTATTTCTCAGGTCCCCAAACAACCTCCCCTTCCATATCCTATCCTCATACTAAGAAACTCTCCCTCTTCCTCCTCTCCAAAAGCCAACTCAGATATTACTTCTTCTCAAAGGCCTTCCCTGACTCAGTGTGATACTATGATATGTGTGTGTGTATATATATCTCTCCAGATTTTCATTCACGGTTCCTGGCTCATAACTCCCATAGCCTTTGTTATTTCTAAGGCAGGCCATGGAAACTAAAAATATACTCTAATCTCCCCACAACTTTCTGTCTTGGAGCTGACCATAAAGAATTTATCTGACCTTGTCTGATTGTGGGTCACAACACCCCTATTTCAGAAAGTGTCCTGTTCCATACCCTGGAGGTGGAAATGCTGCACAGAGACCAAGAAGAATCTGAACAGATAGGCTTTGCTGGGGTTTGTCAGGCTATTAGTATCAGATCACACCCTTTTTGTCCAAACATATTTCTACACTGTTGTCATGGTTATGAAAATCCACAAAAGGCCTATGAGAACAGCGTTTGGAGAACTTCTGGAGAGCTGATCACATGGAGGTTCCTAGAGGGTGGCGCACCTGGGGAGGGCAGAGGGGCTCCATGTGCCTTCCTATACCTTGTCCTCTGCATCTCTTCATCTGCATCCTTTGTAATATCCTTTATAATAAACCACTAAATGTGTTTCCCTGAGTTCTGTGAGTCACTCTAGCAAATTAATTGACTCCAAGGAGAGAGTGATAGGAACCTGATTTACAGTCAGTTGGTAAGAAGCACAGGTAAAACAAACTGGAGCTTGTGACTGGCATCTGAAGTGGGGAGGGGACAGTCTTGGGGACTAAGCCCTCAACATTTGGGATCTAATGTTATCTCCATGAAGATTATGTTAGAATTGATTGCATTAGAGGTCACTCAGCTGGTTCTGCTAAAGAATTGCTTGCTTGCTTATTTGGGGGAACCCACCCCCCACATATTTGGTCACAGAGGTCTGAGTTGATTGTTGTAGAGAGAACAGAAAAACAAAACAAAAAACGTGTAGAGTGAACAAAAAACAAAACGAAACAAAATACTTGGAGTATGAGGTTTTTTTCACTCAGATTCAGGGTGTTAGTGGCTCTTGTTTCTGTCTTCTTTCTCTCAGTATCATAAACAAACATATACTCTTCTACCATTTACCCCATTAATCTAAACGGTTGGCCCACACATGTCTTTCATTTACCAGCTGATATGCACCCTGAGGCTTGCCTCTTAATTCACCATTACATCTGACTGCCAAGCACAATATTTGACAATGTGCATATTCGCTAAGTGCTGAATGAATTCTTGACATAATGCCATGCACCCGCCCCCTCCATCAAAATGCTAAAATGACTGTAGTGACAAAGAGAGAGATAAAACTGATCAAAACCAAAAAGTATCTAAGACCATCTAAAGGACACTCAACAAAGTGAAGTTTTTACAGTGCTCTACATAGTCCTAGGGGTGATGCAGAATTTATGCCACATACATTCTTACATTCACCAATCTTTACTAAACACTTACTATGTATCGGGTACTATGCCAGATGTATGAATACTGAGAGTACAAAAGTGAGTAGAAAAAGACAAGGTCTCCCCCTGAGAATTGTTTACAATCTAATGTAAACGTTACAGAAAGAGACAAATAATTTATTCTCATACCTATTTGTTGAATACATGCCATGAAAGAGAGGTACATGGTACAAATGAACCTATAAAGAGGGAAATGGATTCAGTTTGCTGGGACCTGAGGGAGTGAGGCTTGGACCAAGTGGCAAGGTTAAGAATACATTAATCAAAAAAGAGAAGTATAGGAGGTTCTGTGGAGAAGGGAGAAGGGGCAATATATCTGCAATGCAGAGAGCAAGGGGTAGCATAGTGCAAGGCAAAGTCAGAGAAGAAGGCAAGGAGCAGATTTGGAAAAGACTTGGAGCTATGTCTTACTCTAAGAGCACTCAGTTAAGGATTAAGTTTTTGTAAATGTTTCTTTAGCGATAGCATGGATCACAGGTTTGAAAGAATTAGGGCAGATGGAGATTAGCAAGGAAGCTATTAATACTACTTTTATCAAGGTGTTATCACTTGCCTCCCAAAAAGCATACTGGTTTTCTTGATTTAGTTTTTATATTCTTTTCAATTCAGATATTATTGAACAATGTTATTTGCTAAATAGCAAATTTTAATCTTTGTGCTCCTGGGAGGATACCTCTTTGAGAGGTAAAGAATCTGTTCTAAAACTCTGAAAGCAGGCTGCATGTGATCTGTCATGACACGTGGTTGGAGATTACCAAGAAAAAGTGTGGTGAAAAATACATTTACTATTCAACAGAGCTAGAAAATCCCTAATTGGGGGCGTGCTAGTACAGAACCAGAAATACTGATTTAGATGGAATACCCAAATTATAATGACAATTGTTACTTCCGAGTTATCACTGTCTACAAGTAAAGATTCTAGTATTTTTCTTCATTTGATACTAAATATATGTAGCTAGAAAGAAACTCATTCAACTTAAAAAAAATGGTACCCTTCATAAAAGTATATCAAGGCATAAGCTTTACTTGAATAGGGGTGTGTTTTCTATTTAATGGCCTTTGTCTATCATTTACATTATTTAAATCTTTCTCATACAATAGCCCCTCTGTGGCTAAAATGTTCTATTTGGAGATGCTGAAACATGCCACGTACTCCATGCCTTGTTTTGGTTTCCTTGCCTGATGAACACCTACTCAACCTTCAGCGTCCAGCTCAAATGTCGTCTGCTCAGTGGAGCTTTGCCCAACTCCCACAGCCAGAGCTAATCACTCCCACCTCGCTGTTTCCATAGCAATGTGCTGATATCCTTATTATAGCACTCTGCATCATGGTTAAGATGGCAGTTTATGCTTTGGCTTCCCCTTTTAGATCGTGAGGTCAGGAATCATCTTTTTGTCCATGTAGCTGAGAATAATGCCTGGCACAACAGTACAAGTTTGCTGATAAACAAATGAGTGTATAAGACAAAGAAGGAATACTCCATAGAGTAGTTCTGTTTCTTGGCATATCACATCTTCTGTAACATATCACTATTTTCCCCATCATTACTACTTTACTAATTTTGCTGGTTAGGCAGAAACACATGATTTTTCTCCATTTCAGCAAGTATAGTCACTGGATAAATAACACTTTTATTCTATCTTGCTTTCTGTTCAGAGAAATTCTTAGGCTAAGGATAGTCTTCTAGAAGATGTTCATCCTCTCTCATCAACTACACAACTAATTACAGATATCTTGAAATTTTAAATTTTATCTCTATTTTTATGCATTTCTTTAGCTAAAGAAGAAAATTCCAAAATTTAGAATAATCCTATAAGTTATTAATACAAAAAATGCCTCAACTTTTTTAGTATTAGACAATGTGATATAAACGGAGTATTTCTATGTTTAAGCAGCAAGGTAAGTTTTTGAACAAAAACTTACGGTTGAAAAAGAGAAAAGCAGAGACCTTATCACTGTATAGACGTCTTTGGTAATTTGACAAATGCCTAGTACAGTGACAGAATATAATAGATGCTCATAAACACTAGCAGCTGTTTGTAAGTGTCTCACTTTTTAAATCTATCCAATATATTTTACAAGTGAACAACTTCCCACTCAAGTATCTTGGTAAATTAACTTTAAAAGCTTCCTATAAGTTAATTAATTCCTATGAAACTCTATCAATAATAAGATCAGATCTACTGAGGTCATGTGAATAGCTTTAAGTTTATTTTGGTGTATTTCTAAGGAGCAGGCAGTTTTAAAGCAAAGCCTCTTATTTGTTACTGAGAGCATGTGATGATAACATGCAACTTGGTATAAATGCACTGCTATAGTCCTAACCTCTACTTACTTATTTTTTTAAGATACAGAGAAGAAATAACCAATATTGCTGCTCAATCATCCATTCTTTGAAGTGACTGCCTATTAGATGTTTAGCTTTCTGAAATTTTGAACTAAATCTATTATACTCCCTAAATAGCCTGTATTTAATGGGTAATCAATACACATCTGTGAAGGAATTAATTCACTCTCTCTCTCTATATATATATTTATAGTATTGAATAGAATATATATATATAGTATTGAATAGAATATATATATATATTCATGCAAAAATCAGTCACATGACTTCATCATACATTTGATTATTTTTCCCCATGAAAGAATTAAATTCATCCTCTTAGATGAAAACAGATACTTTCTTGATAAAAATGCAAGAATTTCTAGTGGACTTTTGATTACACACTGGGGACACAATTTTCTTTTCCAGGTTAAAGGATTACTAAAAATAAGTATGATATATCAGTTTTCATATTTTGCACAACTGAAAAATGAAGCCAATCTATATTTGCTTAAACAATGACAAAAGTTTTAAACGGTTTTATGTATTAAGTTACCATGTGCCAGTCTGTTTCAACTTTTCTGAATATAGATTCCATTTTCCACACACCATTCTCCCATCCAGAAATGGTTTGATTGTTATTTGAAACTCGAACATAACGATCTTTCACAATATTATAACAAAGGTGGAGCTGTTTAGAAATCTTCTCATTTTCAGAGGGAATAAACGAGGTTTCTTTTCTCTTAAAAAGAAAGCAGAATTAGTTTTTCAACATTATGAAAGATGTAAAAAAGAAAAAAGAGAAATTACTAAGCAGAGTGGTAAAAGAATCCTTCAAAATTGAAAAGAAAAAATTGGTGCCATTGGAAAATTTGGAAATTATTTTATAAATTAAATATAATCAGTATGATGTTATTATAGCTCTAAACATTACTAGAGAGAAAAACAAGAAGTATGAGCTCTGACTTATATTTTTGTGATTTTGCATTCAATGAATTCATTAATTTTTATTCTTTTCTACCACCACCACTATCCCCTACTTGGACTTCTACAACTGTCTCCTGAAGCTGACTCCCAGCTTTCAACTCTTACCTCTCCTATCCATGCTCCACATAGCAATCAAATTGATTTTTGAAAAAATGTAAACTAGGATATGTCATTTTCCTGCTTAACTCACTTCAGTGACTTAAACTCCAAGCTCTTTACCAAGGCTACCAGGGCCTTATGATGGTTCACCCTGTTTGCTTCTCCAACCAGATGTCCTGTTACTCTTCCCTTTCATTTCTACACTCACATCATATTACTTTTCCTTTAGTTCTTCAAAAAGGTCCAGCTCATTTTGCCTCACGGCCTTGAGACATGCTGCTTCTTTCGTCTAGGATGCTGTTCTTTCTACTCTCCACATACTTGATTCTTTCTCATCCTCAGTCCTCAACCATTTCTTCAGTGTCCTTTCCTAATTCCCTAAGGTAGGAGAGCAGCTGAGAGGTATAGCATGAAACAGTCTTTTGCATGTGTAAAATTATTACAAAAGCTCACATTTTAACCTTAAAATCCCAGGCAATCTTTGCATTCTAGTCCAAAATAACATTAATATTTTATAAATTTTTTTTTTTTTTTGAGACGGAGTCTTGCTCTGTCGCCCAGGCTGGAGTGCAGTGGCCGGATCTCAGCACACTGCAAGCTCCGCCTCCCGGGTTTGCGCCATTCTCCTGCCTCAGCCTCCTGAGTAGCTGGCACTACAGGTGCCCGCCACCTCGCCCGGCTAGTTTTTTGTTTTTTTTTTAGTAGAGACGGGGTTTCACCGTGTTAGCCAGGATGGTCTCGATCTCCTGACCTCGTGATCCGCCCGTCTCGGCCTCCCAAAGTGCTGGGATTACAGGCTTGAGCCACCGCGCCCGGCCAAAATATTTTCATTCTAAGATTAAAATAAAACTTTTCTTTCTGGAAATGATATCACCAATGTTCCTTCTGTTTCCAACTGATTGCAAGATTAATTCCAAAAGTATTTAGGATCAATGTTTCTCTATTTACTTTTAAAACAAACATCTATTTCTAAAGGAAAAAATGATTTCTTTTTAAATCCATGGCCCTAAAATGGTTTCCAGCAATTAAGAAACTTAAAAAAAAAAATTCAAAAGAGAAAACAATGTGGTATGCAACCCAATTCATATTTTTAAAGTTAATCAACTTCCATGCCATGCAAGAGGTAGCACACCCATGCCTAAAAAGAAATGAAGACCTAAATAATATCCATGTTTTAAATTGAACACAGCTGTGAATTAAATTAGCTCTTTTTAACTGGCTGTATTTAGATTTATACTTGTAACACACTGCACTGGCAGTGATTTGAATTATTTGTTGAATTTGGATCTTGTAATCCTATGGCTGAACCAAAACTTTTAACTGCCTGCTACAGACGATAGGACAAATTAAAAAGCAAACATAAAATTTATTAGGGATAATTCACTCCTTTAAAACATACTCTGTTACTAGAGAAATGAGCTGCAACAATGGCAAATTTAGAAAAAGTAGATAAATAAAACTCTGGAACTGCTTGATATTGATATTGTGATGAGTTATTTTCCTTTCAAGCATTTTTCATTGCAAATTTCCTAAACATTTATATTAAATGCTCTCCAGTGACTCAACTTTAGCTCCCTAAAGGCGAAGGAAAGCCTATTATACTGTCCTAATACCCGTTACAAAGCCTAGCACACTGATTTTTACCTAGTCACTTAACTTTAGGACCTAACTATGGAAATTATATTTCTATTGTTATTTACTTTTGGGAGATTAATCATGTGATGTCTTAAACAGTAAGTTTTAATATAACAGTAATTATACCACCAACAATAATTTCTAGCCAATATCAGATATAGGCAAGCATATACCAAGAAATAAACACTTTCATCTGCTGAATTCCCCAAATTCTGTATTTTCCCCACTCCATAAAGTTTTCATCTGGAGAGGATAAAAGTGAAACAGCAGTCTTCTAAATGCATTAGAATCTCATTTTAAAAGACCTAAATAAGCACTTCACAAAAGAGAATGAGGACATCCAAAAGTTTAAAGAACAGGCATTCAACATAATTAGTCATCACCAAAATGCAAATTAAAATCACGATGCTACTATATGCCACCAGAACTGCTAAAATGGAAAAGATAGACAATACCAAGTGTACACAAAGATGTCAAAAAATTTCATATACTGCTGTGAGAGTATACGCTGGCATAACCATTTTGAAAAATTGTTTGGCAATATCTACTAAAGCTGAATATATACTCATACTCTATTACCTAGCAATTCCATTCCTAGGTATACATCCAACAAAATGCCTAAACATATTCACTGAAAACATGAATATAAATGTTCAGAGCAGCACCATTTATATCAGCCAAAACTAGAAATAACCCAAATAGCCATCAACAGTGAAAAATTACATTCATACAATGAATTATACAGCAATGAGACTAAACATACCATACATATTGCAACATGCAACTCACTGACACAAAGTTGCACAAAAGAAGTTATATACAAAACAGTACGTGCTATATGATTCCATTTATATAAAGCACAATAACAGGCAAAATTAATATATCATGTTAGAAGCCAGAATAACGATTACTTTCAAGAGTGTAAGACAGTGTGGAAAGAAACTCACGCTTGTTTCTACAGTTCCAGTGATCTGTTTCTTATTCTGGTTGGTGATTATATGGTTGTTAAATTTGTAAACATTCATTAAGCTGTACATTTGTAATTTGTGCATTTTCCTGTATATTCTTCAGTAAAAGTTACACTACACTAAAAATTTACATAAGGTAAAAAAAATTTTAAGTCCCATTTTAAAAATGCTTTGCTAACTCTTACACATGATTATGCTATGTCAATCAATTACTGGTTCTCTTAAAATGTTTGCATTTTAAAATAATTACTCTCAAGTTAACTGAAAGGTCATAGTCAATGCAGTTGGAGCATAGTACAGGAAAAGCATAGTATAGGAAGCAGGAAAGTAAAATGATCATCATGCTAGAATGAATTAAATACCTGTAGACCCATTTCACCTCGGGCTACTCTCCAAGCCACTGACCCAGATATTCTTCCCCCAAGTTCTCCAGGTTTAGGGGTTTTGGGAGATATAAATTCAACAAGCTCCACAATTATCCTCTGGAGAAGTTCTTTCCTTCTGTTTTCTGACAAAAACAGTTGCCTCTGTAATTCATGTTTTTTAAAACAGTTGTTAAGATTAGGGGAATATATAGGTCCATCTCTAAGAAAGAATATACGTAAAACACTTGCATTTTAAGAGGTCTTGAAACAAGTATTGAATTTTATTTTCAAACATATATTAATTCAGAAAATAAAAAGGACGCTGTGGAAAAGTTAAATAATTTTATAAATTTTACATTGGGAAATCATTTAACACCTATTTCCAACTCTCCATGAGCTCTACTGTCCTAGATTTATTTATAATGAAGGTAGCAACTTCTGTTTCTGGATATGATAGACTGGCTTGTGTCAGAATGTCTTGCTGAGAAAAGCTAGAAAAGCTAGTAGAAACACACACACAGAACACTCACATATAAACACCTGTTGAATGCAACAGAAAGCTGCAAAGGCAGCCAGAACTTGAGAAGTTAAGACTCCAAGAGAAGAGAAGAATTCAGGTGAAGGGCACATACTGCACCCTTTTCCCTTCCAGTCATTTGTCAATTATTAAGTGGCATGAGAACAGTCTGAGAAGCCAAGGACAAAATAGTGACTAAAGCGCTGGAAATCAAACCAGAAATTTTTAGCAGAATCACAGTGCTGGGGTAAAAATAAACTGAGGGTCAGAGTCTTCTACAGCAAGGGGGTCTAGCAAATACTCCAGGTTTTCAGGTAGAGATCTCTGAAGGGCTACACATTAGGAGTAAGTGCAGATTCAAAATAGACTGAAACCTCACCTGGAATCATAATCACTGATTGGATTAATGTGCTCTGCTCTGTTCTGACTGCCTGCTACAGCAAAATTCATTGCTTATTTTTTAATTTATGAAAAAAACCCACATGTATAGAGTTAAATTTTTCAATACTATCCATGGGGTATAAAATAAAAATTGAACCTTTCATCTTGGAACCCCAGTTCCTCTCCTCGGAAGTAGTCATTGTTAATAATTTCCTGTGCCTTGCTTCAGAAATGTCCTCACATGGACGTGTGTGTGTGTGTGTTTGTGCGTGTGTGTGTGTGTATGTACACACATACTACATAAATATGAGTCTGTGTCATATCCAAAGCACAGTTACATTGATAAATAAGACAACACACTTTTTGTCAGGTACTACCAACACTGAAATTTTGTTTCATAGAACTTTGAGATGAGACAGTTTAATCCAAAACTCGTAATATTTAAAATGAGTCCTCAAAATTTTCAATGAACAGAAAGACAGAACATATTAAAATATTCTTGCTTATGAAACAATGCTACTACTTTAAGAATTTCAATAGGCTAATAAATGGCTATTCTCGATTACATAAAAAATGTCAACTGTTCTTTCAAAAAAGATAGCCACCACATACCTGCTTATTAAGCCCATTAATAGTTTCTCGAAGTAATGCTTCTTTAACCTTAGTTCTTCTGGCAATCACCTCTTCATGTTTACAGGAATATCGCCAAGTAACATCAACTACCTGAAACAAATAACAGACTACAAATAATTAACAAGATTACAACCGTCAACCTTTATTTACTAGATACCTAAAATGTATGTAATTTTTAAATGCTTTTTTTTTTTTTTTTTTTTCTGGAGATGAAGTCTCGCTCTGTTGTCCAGGCTAGAGTGCAGTGGCGTGATCTCAGCTCACTGTAGTCTCACTTCCCAGGGTCAAGTGATTCTCGTATCTCAGCCTCCCGAGTAGCTGGGACTACAGGCATGCACTATCACGCCCAGCTAATTTTTGTATTGTTTTAAGTAGAGACAGGGTTTCACCATGTTGGCCAGGCTGGTCTCAAACTCCTGACCTCAGGTGATCCACCTACCTTGGCCTCTCAAAGTGCTGGGATTATAGGCATGAGCCACCATGCCCAGCCTTAAATGCAATTTTTAGAATACTATCCTTTGTTTAAAATTTAAAAGCCATGGGGCCAGGTGCAGTAATCTCAGCACTTTGGGAGGCTGCAGTGAGCAGATCACTTGAGGTCAGGAGTTTGAGACCAGCCTGGCCAACATGGTGAAACCACATCTCTACTAAAAAAAAATACAAAAAAATATTAGCCAAGTATGGTGGCACGTGCTTGTAATCCCAGTTACTCAGGAGGCTGAGGCAGGAGAATCGCTTGAACCTGGGAGGCAGAGGTTGCAGCGAGCCGGGATCATGTAAGTGCACTCCAGTCTGGGCAACAGGGTAAGACTCTGTCTCGAAAAATTAAAATAAAATAAAATAAAACTTTAAAAGTCTGTAAAATAAACTGAATTCGTCACTTATTCATTCCTAAACAGTTGATAGTTTAACCAGAAATGCTATGATAAAAAAGTGAAAATTTCAAAACATTACCTTTTTAAAATGTATCTGCAAAGCTGATTCCACAAAATTCAATAAATAAAAATTTTATCCATTTTTATTATATTAAATTTATATTATAGAACTGATTTTTAATACAAGTGGAAAGACAATTCAATGGAGAAAAAATAATCTTTTCAGTAAATGGTGCTAGAACAATTCATTATCCATATGTAAAAAAAACCCTTCATACCTTAGATCCTATAAAAAATTAACTCAAAATAGATCACAGATCTAAGTGTAAAACTAAAAATATAAAACTTCTAAGACATAACATAGGAGAAAATCATTGTGACCAACGGCTAGGCAAAATTTCTTAAATATAACATCAAAAGGCACAATCCATAAAACAACAAATTAGTAAACTGAACACCAGTTTCTTCTCTTCAAAAGTTATTAAGAGTATGAAAAGACAAACTACAGATAGGGAGAAAAATCTTTCCAAAGCACATATCTGATAATGGACTTATATAAGATTATATAAAGAACTCTCAAAACCCAACAGTAAGAAAAAACAATACCCAATCAAAAAAAAAAAATAAGGGGACATATGGATGGTAAGCAAACACGTAAAAAGATGCTCAATATTATTTGTCGTTAGGGAAGTACAAATAAAAACCATAATGAAATGCCACTACACACCTATTAAAGGGAATAAAATTAAAAAGTCAGATCATACTAAATGTTAGCAAGGACATGGAGGAACCGGAAACCCTCACATACTGCTGTGGATGGCACAATCACGTTGGAAAACAGTTTAGTGGTTTCTTAAAAAGTTGTATGTATATCTACCATATAATGCAGCCATTCTACTTGTAGGCATTAAGCAAAGAGAAAAGGCAGCATATGCCCGTATAAAGACTTGTGTGCCTGACTGTTCATGACAGCTTAGTTTGAAATTGTGAAAAAAACTGGGAACTACCCAAATAGCCATTAACAGGTTAAATGGTAAACTATGGCACATCCATACAATGAATACTGATTTACAGTGGTGATTTCAGTGTATACAAATAAAACTTATCAAACTGTACAATTTAAATATATGCAGGTTATCGTATGTTAATTTTACATTCATAAAACTGTCAAAAAAGAAAAAACTGTATTTTATTTTTGGAAAAAAGTTTTTTTCTTTTATGCCCTACCTCATCTTTTGAAAATGCTATGACGTAGGAAAGCTTCTTGCCCCATCCTATTTCATAAAGAAGTGGCTTGTCACAGACATCTTCACATGCATCACAGTGTAGCCACCGCTGCTGAGAAGGAGAATAGACTTCTGTCCAGACATGGTCTACTCAAGTAAGAGAAAAGAGAACAATGGAAAAAAGACAATGAAATCAGAATGACTTCTAATAACTATACACAAACTCCAAAGAATCATAAAGTAACGTGTAATATTCTGAATTTTAGTTAATAAGTGCATTTTGTGGCACACAGGATTTTAGAATACCTGTATTAATTTCTGTCTCTTTGAAATCTTAAAAATGTTTTTCCAATTTCCTTTAATGTGGTCAGTTTTAGGCTTACTGCGCGCTTTATCTCTTAAGAAGGTAGACATATTAAACAGCAGCATAAAAAGTATCATTCCGATTTTACCATCATGAAGGAGTTAATGCCACTTTTGAAACTACAGTCTCTCTCTCTGGACTTTAAGACCCAGAACCAGCAGGAAGCCTAATAGAATCTCTGGTCAATATATGCTTTATATTTGATTTTAAGAGAACACTAACTATTAACGGAAGGTTTCATTTAATTCTTTAGAAAATGGAAACACAAGGAAAACAACTTTTTAACATGTAGACCACCAAGTCATTTCTAAATAGGGACAACACAAATATCACATGACTTTTATTTTATTATTTCTGTATACTGCGATTTAAGTTTACAGTTTACTAAATCTTTTATAGTAATCCCTATAGCAATGAAGATTTCTATGGCACATTATTAAATGTTTTTATCCATATATAAATAGCATCACTATAAATGCCATGGTAAATTGCTAATAAAAGAAATAATACCTAGTGTTTGATAGATCAATAGGGTGGTTATAGTTTACAATAGTCTACTGCATATTTCATATGAGAGGAGAGAGTAATTCAAATGTTTCAAGCATAAAGACAAATATTTAAGATCACAGATATCCCAATAATACTGATTTGCTCTATGGAATTTATATAAATGCATTAAATTATTACAAGTATTCCCCAAATATGTATATCCATTATGCATCAATAAAAATAAAATAAAGGGGAAAAAAAGAATATTTATAGTGCAAAGCACCAGGCACAACGCTAGGTGTTTTACAAAACTCTTGTGATCCCTTCAAAAAACCTGGAAGGTTGGTATTATTACTGTTTTACACAAGGCAAATGGAAGGTCAGACTGACAAGGCCAAAAAGTAACAGAGAATGCTGCGCTCAGAATGTAAACCCAAACCTGTAAGCCTGCAAAGCCCTACTACCCTCTGCTCATTCCACATTCTGTACCTGTGTAATCCCAAACATAGCGAGCTTCAAATCCTAAAGCTCGACAGCACAGTGTAAAACAATTGGCCCACTCGCCACACCGTCCACATCTTGTTTCCAAAAGTTTCTCAGGGTTATTATATCTGGTTTGAAAAGAAAAAAAAACTTTGATTATCAAAATCAAGATTTTAAAGATAATTTACATTACCTCTATGCTAAACAGAAACGTTTCTTAATTTTTTTTTGTTTTTTTTGAGATGGAGTCTCACTCTGTCATCCAGGTTGGAGTGCAGTGGCGTGATCTCAGCTCACTGCAACCTCTGCCTCCCGGGTTCAAGTGATTCTCCTGCCTCAGCCTCCACAGTACCTGGGACTATAGGCGCGTGCCACTAGGTCTGGCTAATTTTGTTTGTATTTTTAATAGAGACAGGGTTTCAACGTGTTAGCCAGGATGGTCTCGATCTCCTGACCTCATGATCCACCCCGCCTGCCTCAGTCTCCCAAAGTGCTGAGATTATAGGCGTGAGCCACTGCGCCCAGTCTTTAATTTGTTTTTAAATATTGCTTTAGGAATCTAGGATATATGAGGCACAATGTTAGAATCTTTGGTGAAAAATAAACAGTAGTACTGCTTTCAAGGTGTTTACAATCCTGAGGAAAGGAATGAACACAAATAATTTTAATATATGGCAGAATGTGATCAAACAATGCAACAGGTCAGATTTAGTGTTTAATATATGGCAGAATGTGATCAAACAATACAACAGGTCAGGTTAGTGATCAAAAAATACAACAAGTCAGAAAGTGGCTGGGGAGGAGAGCTTTCATTTGACCTGTGTTTTGAATAACGTAAGATTTGGACAAGCAAACTGGTATAACTAGCTCACTATATTTAAAAGGTAAACAACTTTAACAAATTACTCTACAAAAATTTTAGCTTAAATTCAATTTTATCTAAAATACTATCTTTCTAATAATCATTTTGATTAAAATTTTACTCTTTTGAAGTATTTAAAGGTGCCTGCTAATTTAGAAGTTGTTTTTTGGGATCTATTTGTAACATTCTTTTTAGAAGTTACTCCAATTATAAAATTACCAGACAATTCGAGAACACTAAATTTTGCATTTTGTGTTGAGATGGGTTTTGAACTGATCGAGCTGACCAGGAAAAGTGCTGCAGCTGAGCAGCGAGGTCAGCGATGTGCTTTGGAAGGAAAGGAAACAGTGGCATGAATGAATGGGCTCTGCGATGACAAGTCTGTTAAGCAAATGCTTAATGAAACATTTCTTAAGCTAAATAAATGAATTCAGAACTTAGGTAATTAAATAACTTTTTTCTTTTTTTTTTTTGATGAAGTCTCACTCTTTTGCCCAGACTGGAGGGCAGTGGCACAATCTCGGATCACTGCAACCTCTGCCTCCCAGGTTCAAGCAATCCTCCTGCCTCAGCCTCCCCATATAGAGAACAGCTAGAGATTGAAACGAGCACATGATTAGAAACTATGTCCTGAGCTAAAAAAATTAGATATTTTTAAGACGTGGTATGTTTTCTTGACTGATAATACAACCAAACTTTATAAGCATAGCCAATTCAGAAAATCTGAAAACAGGCTTATAAATGAAAGAATGCAAATTTAAAATTTAAAATGTTCTTAGTTTAAAATTAAGAGATATGAGGAGTAGGTTAGGTTGGGCAGGGGAAGCACCTAACTAAAACAAACTTCTGCTAATAATACTGATAATAATAATAATGCTGATTATTGTGAGAGTAAATACAATTATGTGTTTAAAATAATCATCCGATGATAATATGGAAGGTTAAAGTATACTTCAGCATTATTATTATCAGTATTGTTAGTTACCAGACAGTTAAAAATTAGGAATTAAAAAAGTAATACAAGATATATAGCATTAAACATGACTATACTCAAGTTATACTTTAGAACAAGAGTCAACTAATTTCCTATAAAAGACAGATGGTGAATATTTCAGACTTTATGGGTCATATCATTTCTGTCACCATTATTCAACTCTGCTGTTCCAGCATAAAAACAGACCACAAGTATATGAATCAGCATGGTTATCTTCTAAGATAACTTTACTGACAAAAACAGGATGTTGGCTGGATTTAGCCTGCCAGCCAGTTTGCTCACCTGTGTTTCAGAGGAATACGTTTCTGATAATTAAAATAAATATTAAAAAGTTCATTTAGTAAAAACTCTCTTCTAACTATTTCATTAAGAGATTATTCTGACTTTACTGTCCTGGGCACCCACCTTGGGAATCGATTGCTGAACTGGCAGGCATCACAGTAATGATCTTCCACTTTCTTTGCGCCCCACTTCAGCTCATCGTCATTGGGTAGTAATGATCTATCTCTAGACCTAGTCTGTCCACCACATTTGCTGCACAAAATGTTATTCACCCAGTGAAAAAATTCTTCCTTAAACCAGTGCAAAAGCTCCAGCAAAAGAAAATCCTCATCACTTACATTAGTACCTGAGAAATTAAGGGAGAACCAAGTAAGAGCTAAAGCTGGCAAAATTTAAAATATCCACACATATTTATTCTCAAATATGAACCTGAAAAATATGAAAACGTAAGATGATTTTAAAGGTTTTCACTAATAAGAGACAAGAAGAAACTGTCATTTATTATGCACTAGGCTGAAATACAATGACATGTATAACTGCACATTAAAAACAGTAGAACATTTACCATTTTATATCCTCTAACTGACATTATGCATTAGCAAGTGAGCTAAACACAATGACCTCTTAGGGAACTACAGTCAGTTAGGAATTGATCCTGAAGTACAAGGGAGGTAGAAAAATAAATTTGATTTTTAAAAACATTTAAAAATGGGATACATTAAATTTGTTGTCAGGTATATACACAAGTAAACATTAAACAATCACAAAAGGCAGAAATCACAGAATTCCAGACATTTAAAAAATCATCCTAATTATTAGCCTTTCTATTAGGGCTTCAACTGTACAATACAATCCATCTATGGATACTCATCCCCAAACACATAAAAACACAACCATATCTCTAGTATATATAACAATCCTAATATTATGACAGATAATATTATACCCACTTTTCCATAAACAGATCTCTCCTGATCATATTCAAGACCATGGTAACTCTGGCAAGAAGGGAAGGAGAGGGAAAATCAATCTTAAAAACATATATGGGGGTTCTCATCTCTATCTTTAATGTTTTATGATTAAGATAGAGTGATAAAACATAAATATGAAGGATATATATAGCATAAAAATCTAATAAAGCTTGATGTTGGTCATAGGTGTATGATACATTATACTTTGTTCTTGTATTTAAGTTTGATGTGTTTCAAAATAAAAAACTACAGAAAAAAAAAAACTACAGAGAATGTAAAAAGGTCAGAAATATTAATGTTCCTGGAGGGAAAACTCAATATTTCTAAAGTTGTTAACTTTCCACAAATTAATCTATAATTTAATACAATCCCAAATAAAATTATACAATATTTTTTCATAAAATTTGACAAGCTAGCCAGGCGTGGTGGCTCACACCTCTAATCCCAGCACTTTGGAAGGCCAAAACAGGCGGATCATCTGAGATCAGGAGTTCAAGACTAGCCTGGCCAGCAAGGTGAAACTTTTGTCTCTGCTAAAAACTACAAAACTTTTCTGGGTGTGGTGGTAGGCGCCTGTAATCCCAGCTACTCGGGAGGCTGAGGCAGGAGAATCACCTGAACCTGGGATGCAGAGGTTGCAGTGAGCCAAGATTGTGCCACTGCACTCCAGCCTGAGTGACAGAGCGAAACTCTGTCTCATTAAAAAAAAAAAAAAAAAAAAAAATTGACAAGCTAACTACAAAATCTCATGTGAAAGAGAAAATGCACAAAAAGATCCTCACAACTTTGAATAAGAATCATGAGGTAAATCTGCCTACAGTGTATCAAGACATATTATAAAACTCTAATAATTGAAACATTGTGATATTAGTGAGGAATAAACAAACAGATCAATGAAACAAGAGTCCTGAAAGACAGATTTCTAAGCAAATGCACAGTATTTAATAAAGTTAGCATTTTAAAGCAGCTTTAACAGGATGGACTGTTTCAATAAATGATATTTGGACAAACAGCTATCTAAGTATCAGATCCCTACTATAGTTCATTTAAAAAAAAAACAAAAAACTCCTTCTCCAGAATACTATAAAATAATAGAAGTTTATAGGTGAATGTGTTTATGTTTATGACTTTGGGTTAGGGAAGGTCTTAAGCAAGATACAAACCGTTAAATCAATAATAAAAAAAAAAATTTCTTATGTTAAAAATAAAAACTTTTGAATTTCAAAAGCTATACTAAAGAACCCTGGGAGAAAAAATTATAACATGTCTAACAAAGAAAATATAAATTTCTGGCCGGGCACGGTGGCTTGTGCCTGTAATCCCAGCACTTTGGGAGGCTGAGGCAGGCAGATCACCTGAAGTCAGGAGTTGGAGAACAGCCTGCCCAACGTGGTGAAACCCCACCTCTACTAAAAACACACACACACACACAAAAGCTGGTCGTGGTGGCAGGTGCCTGTACTCCCAGCTACTCAGGAGGCTGAGGCAGGAGAATCACTTGAACCTGGGAGGCAGAGGCTGCAGTGAGCCGAGATCACGCCACTGCACTCCAACCTGGGCGATATCTCAAAAAAAAAAAATTTCTAAATACATAAAAAACTTCTATAAATCAGTAAGAACATTAAGAAACCCATTAGAAAAATTCACAAAGTCCATAAAAGAAATTCAATACTTTCATTAAGTGGAAACAAATATTCTTAGACACTTCTAGTATAAATTGGAAGGCGATTTGGCAGGATCCATTATAGTATAAAAGTATTACACGTACTTGACATTTCAGTATCCATCCAAGAGAAACACTTGTGCATGTGTGTCAAAAGATATTTTACAAGACTCTCCACTGTGGTGGCATTTAGAACACAGAAAATGAAAACAACCTCTATGTCCATCAATAGGGAATTGTATAAATAATAGTATATGTACAATCAAACACTATGGAGTGAAAAGGCTGTCCAATACATATTTGTAAATGAAAAACATCAAGGAGCTGAATAGATGAGATGATAAATTTTACATAAACCCCACACAACTTAAACTATTTTTATAGATAATTATTTACAGGTATAAATATCCAGGACAAGACATGAAAAGGAACAGAACTGAATGGCAGGGAGAGTTTGGAGTTTCCCGTATAATATGAAAGCTTTCCAACAGGAAGATATTCATGAATTAGTTACATTAAAAACAAAGTTTTAGAAACAGAGGACTGTCATTCTCCTTCTCGGTCTAGTGCCTACCATGCAGCAGCTGGAGTCATCTTTTTAAAAGTACAGGCCAGATTATATGACTTACAAAACCCTCCAATGGGTTTCCATCTCATTCAGAATAAAATTCAAAGTCCCAACTCTTGTTCTTTCAGCTGGCCCCCTGTAGTAGGCTAAAAAATGGCCCTCAGAGGATATCCATGTCCTAATCACTGTAGCCTATGAATGTAGTTACCTTATGTGGCAAAAAAAGAGAAAGGTCTTTGCAGATGTTATAAAGTTAAGGATCTTTAGATGGGGAGATTATCCTGGAATATGTGGATAAATCCAATCACAAGTAACCTCATAAGAAGCAAGTAAACGGAGATTTTACACACAGAGAAGGCAATGTGAAGATGGGACAGAGAGAGACTTGAAGATGCTGGCCTTAAGACCGAACTGTTGCAGCCACAAACCAAGGACTGCCAGCAGCAACCAAAAGCTGAAAGAAGCAAAGAACAGATTCTCCCCTCCAAAAGGAGCATGGCTCTGGGGATACTTTGATTTCTCTCTGTGACAATGATTTTGGATTTCTGCCTTCTGGAACTGTAAGAATGCGTTTCTTTTTATTTCACCAAGTTTATGGTAATTTGTTATAGTAGCCCCAGGAAATGTAAATACCCTCTTACCTCTCTGACCTCAAACCCTATCTCCTCCTGTCTTGTTCACTGGCTATAGCCACCATGCTCTCCCTGCCATCTCTTAAACTTGCCAACCTCACTCCCACCTCAGAAGGCCTTTGCAGCTGCTCATGCCTTCTACCTAAAAGGGAAATCATTGCTTTTTAGAGAAGCCATCCCTGAAAATCTTGTATCAAACAGCATCTTACTAATCATCACTCACTCTCTGTTCTCCCGCTGGTCTTCCTAGCACTTTTCACTAGTGTGTGTGTGTGTGTGTGTGTGTGTGTTGTGTTCCTATAATGGTAGGTACTTAGTTTTGTTCACTGCTATATCTCCAACACTTAGTGTTCTGCTTGCTATACACTAGATGCTTAATAAATACTTGAATGATGAAGGGACTGAACAAACATGCCTCAAAATATTACTTAGAATTGCAATTGTTCACTAGTCATTATCAAGACCAAGAAGGAAAGGATAACAGCGTATTTGTACTTCTGTTACATACTCCAGGTATAAATCAGCACGTTTCCAGCTGAAAGTACGACTATCAAACAGTAACACCCAATTAAGGGTCAATGTTCCTCATTTAAGCAATATCCTTAACTAGGGGCTCAGAGAAATAAAAGTAGATTCCTGTATGATGAAAGCTCAGAAATTTCAGAGATAAGGGAAGCCTGATTTAGATGCTAAATTCTGTGAAGACAATATTGGGTTTACTTCAAAAATTAAGACTTCAAATTTCTAAAGTTACCATCTTCAAAAATACCATATAAATGTAGATTTCTAGTAACTTATCAGTGACAAAATAAAATCAGCAAGTTTAGGCCCCAACTCCATTCTCTGAAAACCCCTTCAATGTACAAGAGAATGAGAAAATGGGTAAAAACATCAGTAGAGGTAGCCTCATCCATGTTCTCCATCTCATATCTTCATATGCAATTTAGTAGGCCAAGACACATTTTGTTACCACTTTTCAAAACTAGGTTCCTCCTCCAGAAAGGTGTTTTACCTGTATCTGAAACATGCAATCATGACAAACCTTCAGTCTACCAGGCCAGAGCTATCAAACCATGCTTCTCTATCTCATTTGGCAGTGTCACAAGGTCCCCACTTCTGCATCAAACCAAAGCACTTTCCCCAGTCCATAGACCCAGAATATGATTTTGTCTGGAAAGGAAAAAACAGTCCACTGCACTAATGAAAGAAAATCACCAACTTGGCCAGCGGGGGCTTCGTCATCATCAAAGTGCCATTCACTCACTGGGGCAGAGACTGATGGTGGCCATATAATAGTCACTTGCCACTTCGTCCTCATTTGTAGAATTTCAATTTTGGAGGGATGACAATGCACCAGCTAAAAAACTACAGATCCCAACTTCCCTTGCGGCTAAGTGTGGCTAAATGACTAAACTTCACGTGACTCCAAGAAGACAACTTCAAGAGAAGGAGCTCAAATTAGAGATAAAACCTTTACGCTTTTTCTCCGTTTCTTCTTCCTGATGTTTGGTC